GGTCGCGGTTCCTCAACTCTTTCTGTTGATGAGTGAACTCGTTGAGTCTAGGAGATGAATCAGCGAGTTGGTAATAGTTTTGGACTAGGAAATTGAAGAACTCGACGAGTCCAAGGAAGGACTCAACGAGCTGAGACAGTCGGGGAGTCGTGGGAGCAGCCAACAGAGATTCCTCTCACGAGAGTTTTACCACCCAGTTTGAGAGGTGAGTTTTCCTCCAATAGAACGGGACGAAGGCACCAAATCCGGCCCGCATATGTATAATTAGTAGCCGAGTGTGGACGCGTCTCGTATCTCATAGTAGCCGAGTATGGGCGGGGAGCGTATCTCATAGTTTTATTTGAGTATGGATATATATATATATATATATATGTGTGTGTGTGTGTGTGTATGTGTGTGTAACTAATTGATAGATTTAGTTATACTTGTTGTCTGTGTGATACTTGTATGTATGTTTAGTAGATGGGAGTGGACGGGGCATGTATCTCATAGCAGCCGAGTGTGAGCTGGGTCTATATCTCCTAGTTAGTTGAGTATGGGCGAGGCTCGTATCTCATAACCAGCGGAGTGTGGGCGGGGCCCGTACCTCCCAGACAGTGGAGTGTGGGCGGGGTCCGTATCTTCTAGTTGCATGTTATATGTGTATGGTATGTGGTAGTTTGGGGAGACTCACTAAGCTTCGTGCTTACAGTTTTCAATTTTGGTTTCAGGTACATCCGGTAGCAAAGGGAAGAGCTCGGGATAACTGCATAGCACACACCACAGTTTTCAGCCTGGGATATTTTAGACTCTGATATTTTGATAAAAGTTATTTTGATATGATGTTTGAGAAACATGACAGGTGATTTTATTATGTTATTTTATGAATTATGATTTTTTCTTAAACGATTTAAACGGAATTTTTGGAATATATTTTTGGGTTGTTACACCAGTCCCCACGGTGTGGCCTTAGGTTGCCACGACGTGGCGACTCACTGATTTGGACTTTTGGGTTGTTGACTTGACCGTTTACCATGGGGGTTGACTTTTTGACTTAGTCGACTTTTGGTCAACTTATGGGTTGGAGGACTTTAGGCTGGGAATTGAGTTTCCTTGTTGTATTATAAGTAGCTCGTGATATTAACCTTTATCCCGGCGGGAGCTATTGGATTATCTGCTAGATTCTGAGGTGAGTTTCCTCACTATACTCGTAGATTGAAGGCACGGATGTCAGCCCACTAGGTTGTGTTATGTATCCTAGTATATAGGATGTTGTTATGTTGTATTGATCTGTTAGATTGGTAGATTTATATAGTTATCTATATTTGTTGGTTATTGATTATTTGTTGTATATGTCGACATGATGTGGTTGGGTAGAGGCGTTACTGCTCTGTATTGTAAGCCAACAAACACAGGAGAATCCTATCTGATGACTGTGGGACGACGACAATCCAATTTAATGAATGTTGGCCGGGGTAATCCAATCTGATGATTATGGATCCAGTATGCATGCTTGTATATGTTTTGTTGTGTGAGGTATTTTGGGAGAATTCATTAAGCTTTGACTTACAATTGTTTTCTGGATTTAAGTATATCATATGATTAGAGCAAGACGAATACATGATCATACAAATCATCATTGGGATTTATGTTAAGAGATGTTATTGGATACTCTGATTTTATGACTATATTTTTTAAACAATATTTTGTATGACTTACGGGTTACAAAAATGATTTTTGAAAAATGAAACTTTTTATTATAATTTTTTGGATGTTACAATAATACTATATGGGAGGTCGGTGTTTTATGACTTTATCCCATATGTCACTGTTAGTATGTAGTATTGAATTGGATGAGTTGTATCCACTTGTTTTTTTATCTAAGTGGCAGTTATTCATCGAGTGATGTTATATGGGTTTTTTGGTGTTTTTTCAATTTTTCTCTATTATTTTCATTACACTTTTACTTCTAAAAAAATAAAAAATAATGAATTATTAAAATAAAATGTTTATTATCTTTTAAATTTAAACAAATAATTTAAATTAAATAAAAAAAAACAAATAAACTTTAACTAAAAAATTTTAAAATTATAAAATAAGCTTATTAATGAAATTGATATTTATTTATTATTTTTGTTGCAATTATTATATTAAAATATTATATGAAGTTTAATAAAATAGAAAAATTTATAAAAGGAAATATAAAAAAATAAAAAAAAACAAATTATTTGTAAACTACCACAAATTAATATTTGTCAAATTCAGGAGGAAGGATGATTTAATCAAAGCCATAGTATGGCTTATAAATTATACATTTACACCTTAAACTAAATCACTTGAGAGGAAACAATCAAAAAGATTTCCGTTGCCGGGACTTGAACCCGGGTCTCTCGGGTGAGAGCCGAGTATCCTAACCAACTAGACTACAACGGATTTGATATTTAAATTTCCCATTCGCAACAAGACATAAACTATAGCATCATGGATAGTTACTGTGGATGCAACATAACCACTATATGACTATATCTGTTTGTTTTTCCCGATAATGTTACTGTGGATGCATTTTTTATTGGTCTTGCATTTCAACTTGTTAAATCGTTCTGGTAAAAATAATTCTAAATTTTTATTATTTGATGTCAAGTAAATCAGATTTTGATAACTTGATAAAATATTTAATGTCAAGTACTCAACTTTCAATAATTTGGTAATTAATTTAGGTCAAGTAATCTGATTTAGGTAACTGAGTAAATTATTTAAGATATTTAGATAATTGGTAAGACAAGTAAATAATCCATTATCAAAGATAATTAAATTGTAAATTTACTTATGCAGTTTGACTTAACCGATTTTCTTAGAATCTTTTAAAATTTTCAAATCAAAATAAATCGTTTTAAGATGTACGCCGTTCCACTGTTTTGAGCTCATAAATTTTGCTAATAGTGATTCTCGAATCTTGATCAAAATTATTTAGCGTTAATAGTTGGGAAAATGACTCTTGAGGGTAATTAACTTTTGCGTTTGTACTCATTTGGTCCCTTTTCTGTTTTTTTGTATTCAATATACCATTGAACTTGTTTTTGGTGTTTACCATAGCCCTTTTGACCGGCTTTTGACCTGTGATAGCCGGTCAAAGGGTTATGGTGAACACAAACAACAAGTTCGATGGTATATTGAGTACAAAAAAAAGGAAAGGGACCAAATGAGAACAAACGCAACAGTTGGTTACCCTCCTGATTCATTTTCCCTTTACTCATTTACAACAAATCTCACATCATCTCCTACTGATATTAATGACTTTATGAGATTCATTTTTGCTTCTCTTCAAAACATAACCTACGAAAGGACATTATTCATACATGTACAACTTTGTAATGCACTTAAATATTTATTAGGGGAATCTTGACTAAGCAGTCGCATTTCATGACTACATTTACATTTTCAATCAAATGATTTATCGTATCATGGATTCTAGACAAGTCTACAAACAAGTGGAACCACAAGTGCTATGATTTTTGAGTTTACTTATCTTTAAGATCGAACTCATGGGATAAGATGTTGGATAAGGTGTCTAAGTTCATAACTTATTTGGTATATACTTGATCCGACTCGGCATGGTCCATTTGGGTTGCACTTCACCCGAACTATTTATGGATAATTTTATGAGAGTTATACACATATGATTATTAATATATTATAAGTTATAATATATTAATATGAAGTCATGTTATTTAATTAGTCTTAGTCTTAAATTAATTATGAATTAATTTAGAGATTAAAAAGAAGACTAATTAGATTGTGGGCTATTGGTTTTATATGGTGTGGGCTAACACTCATTTGTTAATGGGCTAGGCTTGTATGGAAGTCCATGGATGATCCATGGAGCTTTTAACCCATGGATCCTTGGAAAAGGAAAGGTCATGGGTTATTAGGGTTTCACCCTAACCATGCACACTATATAAGCATGCTTATGTTGCATGAAATAGCCACTAGTGTGTGTGTTTGTGTGTGGCTGAAATTATAGTGTGTATACACTCTCTCAAAGTTTTCCAAGTGTTTGTGGTGATTTGTGATTCCATTTGAGGCATTCACACTATTGGTGCTTGGCCCTCAAACTCCTTAAGAATCAAACTCATCAAAAAGGTACGTAATCTCATCTAATTCTTTTATGTTTAAAAGTACCCCATGCCATGTTAGATAGTTATGAACCTTGGAAAATTATTATTTTTCATGTATTTAGACAAACATAGATCCAAGGTTTATTAGGATTGCATGCACACTTAGGAAGTGTTAGATTGCTCAAAACCCAACATAAGATACAACATCAATATGTACAATATTATGGTGATGTGTCTACAAAAGCAGCATGATATTGTACATATTGATGTTGTATCTTATCCCATGAGTTCGATCTTAAAGCTAAGTAAACTCAAAAATCACAACACTTGTGATTCCACTCGTTTGTAGACTTATCTAGAATCCATGATACGATAAATCATTTGATTGCAAATGTAAATGTAGTCATGAAATGCGCCTACTTAGTCAAGATTCCCCTAATAAATATTCAAGTGCATTACAAAGTTGTACATGCATGAATAATGTTCTTTCGTGAGTTATGTTTTGAAGAGAAGCAAGAATGAATATCATAAAGTCATTAATATCAGTAGGAGATGATGTGGGATTTGTTGTAAATGAGTAAAGGGAAAATGAATCAGGAGGGTAACCAACTCTTGCGTTTGTTCTCATTTGGTCCCTTTCCTTTTTTTTGTACTCAATATACCATCGAACTTGTTGTTTGTGTTCACCATAACCCTTTGACCGGCTATCACAGGTCAAAAGCCGGTCAAAAGGGCTATGGTAAACACCAACAACAAGTTCGATGGTATATTGAATACAAAAAAAAAAAAAAAAAAAAGTGACCAAATGAGTACAAACGCAAAAGTTAATTACCCTCAAGAGTCATTTTCCCTTAATAGTTAAACCCATAGGCCATAGCAAATATGAGTTCAAAGACTTAACCAAGCTTAGACATCATACAAGAATACGAAACCAACAAATGGAGTCCTTCAATACACAGCTACAAAACATAAAATTTAGTTAGCGAAAATGTTGATTAAAAACGAGGAAAAGCATACAAGTGGAGTCCTTTATCCATGTGAAGGGTGAACATGGTTCTATAAGTAGCTTCTTCACTCTCATCCACAAGTTTGAACTTGTAGAAGTAAATAAGAAAAGCCGCAATAATCTTCATTTGTCTGTAAGCAAATTCCTTCCCCAAACATGTCCTTGGCCCACCCTAATCAAACAAACATCCAATATTCAAAACAGGAGACAAATAACACTAAAAAAATCAAATAAATCGAAAAAAGTCTAGGGGGGGAAAGTATAAATATATGTTTGTTGGAGGTAGGTACCTGAAAAGCTGTGAGCTTGAAAGGACTTTGAGGTCGAAAAACGCCATTTTGGAGCCATCTTTCGGGTCGGAATTCCTCTGCGTCGGGTCCCCAAATTTGGGTCATCCTTCCCATTGGATACGACATATAACCCACATAGTCACCTTTCTTGATCTTAAACCCATCTGGTAGAACATCGTCTTTCTCCGCACATTTGCCATTCTTAAAAAAAAAAAAAAAAATTAATAATAATAATAAATACATACTACATGTTATGTTATTGCTTTACTATGTACATATAAATATAGTAAATATGCAAAACAGAAGTTAGTTGTTTACCAATGGAATTGCAGGATAGAGTCTGAGTGTTTCTGTTAAGGTTGCGTGAAGATAATGCATTTTGTCAAGGGCAACTTCGGTCAACTTTATCTTGAACTCATCGGTAGATGTATGATCATTGCCATTGGCTTCGGTGGCGATTTTCACTTCTTCTGCAACCTTTTCTTGAATCCTGGATTGCTTGCAAAGCACGTAAAAGAACCAAGACATGGTGTTTGCAGATGTATCCTTTCCGGCAAGGATAAAACTCAAAGATATATCTCTCAGATACTTGTCCGTCATATTTTCTGGATCCTTTTCACTTTCCATCAGAAATCTCGACAGTATATCTTCTTTATCTCTCTGTCATAATTAAACACTTGAAACTTTCAAATATTGGAAACGACACAAGAGTTTAGAGTTTACACAGATACCTCTTCGTTTTTCATCTGTTCCCTCTTGTTTCGTATCAGTTCATATACGAAGTTATCGATAATTTTGATTTTTTCTTTGAGAGTGGCTTCGGAACCAATATTAAGATACCTCTTCACCTTCCATAGAAGATCCACAAATCGCCAATATACTAAACCATTTGATGCATCAAACGCTTCCATAAACCGATTCCCGGCCTCATTTGAACCCGATAGAGTATCAAGTTCAAATCCAAATCCCACCTGAAACATCGCATCTAAAGTCGACCTCATCAACAGATCCTGCGCGAAAAAGAAATAGAAAGCAAATGAAACAAAACTAGAGTTAATTCATATCCCTTTTAAAATAGGTGATCGATCGAATCTTCACCTGCAAATCCATCGATTCCTCAGAGGCTGCTAGTAATGAAATCTTTTTCACTAGTTTAGCAGTATTGGACTTGAAAATAACGCTGCTAAACTCTCGTAAAACTTTGGTTGAGAACTCTAAGCTTGCAAGCTTTCGTTGGTGGCTCCACTTAGCTCCATCCACAACAAAAATCCCATTTCCAAAAAGATCACTCATTATATCAACATTGTACTCCCCCTGTGATGTAAATAACAAGAGACTGTTGATTCCTTTAACCATGAATCAGGTAGAAAGATGCGTGATAATAATACCTTGCCGTAATTTGCGAAATTGGTCTTCAAAATGTACTCGGTGTTAACAGGATCAACTGTATAAACTTCACTGTGTGAAGGTGTGATGAGACGATAAGTGGGATACTTTTTCGCCATTAGTGTCATGTAATCATGAAGCTTGTGAAAGTGTATGAGTTGATTTGTTATTGGTCCGATGATGGGTGGCCGGTGATCGGTTGACAACAATTCTCTCAAGTAAGGTACAAGCACTAGAGCCAATAGTACTATCAAAAATGAAGTGAGAATCCCGATAACTGCAAGGATGAACAACGGTGAAACGTAAAAAAATCCTGTGAGAAGGACGATGGTGGTAGTGGTAAGAAAGAAGGGAGTCCTCATATTGTGGAGACACCATTTGTGAATGAGCATCGTTTCTTGTTGTTATAAGGGGATTAATTTGGGACCTTTGTTATTTGTTATTAATAATTTATAGATGGATTTGCGTAGACGGTTTTTATTTTTATTGTGTTTTAGTGGTTATTATCACCACAAAACCACCAAATTATAGCTCATTTAATTGGCTTTAGTTAATGTTCAACAAATTTTCAAATTATTCTATCCAATTAACCCTACTTAAAGTGTTAAACCCAACTCCCATTCGATAAAACCCGACTGTTAGAGTATCCGTTTGCTAACATCTCTATTGCAATTAACAAAAAAAAAAAGTGGTAAATAAATTAGGAATAATACCCTAAAAGAATGAGAAACAAAATAGATTCACCAAAAAGGACGTGTTAAGACCCATGGTGCGGTTAGTGCCACCTGAGTACCTGACAATGCACATCTGCACGGTAACACCACACCATTGTACCTGGATGATTAACTGAACATCATTAATGTCAAGTCTTCTTGCTGCAACAGTTGTGGCCACTAGTGTCATAAACTTACCAGAAAGGAATCCCGCAACATCATATGGATGATATGGATGAGGAGCAAGTCTCCAAAGATGACTGGCATATTCAGCCACCGAACAAAACATGTTGTCATACATATCTTCAACAAAACTTAATTTGGAGAATTCGCTCAGCTTCTCCAATATCATTTCTGTAATGCCTAACTTGTCATTGATGGTCAACATTGTTCATAAACATCTTGATTAAACACATATATGTTAGCTTATATATTATTAGCCCACTTGTTTATGGGCCCTTTAGTCTTTAGCCTTTTAGGGTTTTGTCTACCTAGTATGTATATACCGCTTTATTCCTTGTAGTCTTTATGTTTTCCATTGAGAGCCCTTGTAATTTCTCTTTATTATAATAATATGATAATGTTATCATGATATCAGAGCGGAGGTTTGATACATTGTTAGAAGTCTTTGTAGCAGTCATATGTTGTGCAGATCGATTCGTTGTTGTTGTAGCTGGTATTTGTCATTGATGTGTTGATTCGTTGTTGTCGTTGATTCGTTATCGTTGTTGATTCGTTGTCCGATTGATTGTTTCCGCTCGTTTGTTACTCCTTTCATTCTCAGATTGCTATACTATTATTGTAGTTATTTATTCATTGCCGACATGACTGGAAATGATGATTCTCTTCGGTCACTCAGTACTCATCTAGATGGAAAGAATTATATGTATTGGAGTTACATTATGAAGAACTTCCTTCGTGGGAAGAATGTGTGGGGCTATATCACTGGGACTAAAGCCAAACCCTCAGTGCCTCAAAGTGAGAATTTTGATTTGTTGTTTGATATTTAGGAGACTGATAACTCCAAGGTCATTACTTGGATTAATAAATTTGTTAATCAGTCCATTGGTATGCAGTTGGCTAAATATGACACAACAAAGGAAGTGTGGAATCACTTGAAGAGACTGTATACTCAGTCCAACTTTGCTAAACAATACTAGTTAGAATATGATATTCGTGCCCTTCAACAAAATGACCAGAGTATTCAAGATTTTTATGTTGTTATGTCTGATCTTTGAGATCAATTAGCTCTTACTGAATCTAAAGAGTTAAAAGATTTCGAGTCTTGCATTGCGAGGAGGGAAGAACAATGCTTGGTCCAGTTCTTGATGGCCTTGTGTTCTGATTTTGAAGGTCTATGTGGAACAATTCTTCATCGCTCTCCTCTTCCTTAAGTTGATTCTATTGTCCATGAGTTAATTGCAGAAGAGACTCGTATCAAGTCTCATGCGGATAAAGGGTTTAAAGCAACCTCTATTTCTACTCCCGTTCATGTTGTTCTTGATGTTTCCACTAATCAGTCTCGACAAACTTCAAGGGTTGCTTATGATGAGTGTGCATTCTGCAAACAGAAATATCATTAGAAAGCTCAGTGTCCATTGTTAGTCAACAAGGGTAAATCTGGTCAACCTCATTCGGGACAACAAAATAGGTCTGGTCAACATAAGTTTCAGCCACGTTCGGTACTCCTCCATGGACCCCTCATCCTCCACAGTTTGTTGCTGCTGTTATACCACTAGTTGATGCAAATGCTGTTGGAAACATGTCACCAATTGCATTGGATCCCAAGGTGTCTGAGAGTTTCAGACAGTATGTGGCCTCTAATCCTACTGCTATGTCTGCATCTATGTCTCACTCTGGTCATACTTCATCTGGTACATCAAGTATTCCCTCATCTTTATGGATTTTAGGCTCTGGTGCAACCCATCATATGACTCCTCATTTGTCATCATTTACTTCTTTGTCGCAAGTGTCATCTATTTATGTTAAGTCTGCTAGTGATACATCTATGCTAGTTGAGGATGTTGGGTGTTGATACTCCTCTTGAAACCAGTGCATGATACTCTCCTATTGATGGTGTTCCTTTGTCCGATCCGAACCTTTATCGCACTGTTGTGGGAAGTTTGGTCCATCTCACAGTTACTCGTCCAAATATTGCTCATGTTGTTCATGTTGTCAGACAGTTTGTTACTGCCCTACCTCTGTTCATTGGGGAGTTGTTCTCCGTATTCTGAGATATTTTCTTGGCACTCAGTTTTAGACTCTCGTGTTTCCCTCGACGTCTTCTCTTGAGTTGCGTGCCTATAGTGATGCTGATTGGGATGTGATCGCCATGATCGTAAGTCCACCACTAGGTTTTGTGTATTTCTTGGAGAGTCTTGATAGAAATTTGGGTTATAGATATACTTGGATCAGTGAGAGTTGTGAAACACTTTCAGATTAAAGCATTTCGAGGGTACACTCAAAATCTCTAATCGGATGAAACTCAGTATTTTTCTAGAATATATAATGAAAAAGATGTTATGAATATGTACCCAAAAGAGAATCTGAAATTGATCATATATAACAGAAAACTAACTTTTTGTCTTAAAACTGTCATATGGTAGTTATATATAAATAACTTCCTGTCCAAAAAGGGCCATATTACCTGTCATAAACTACCATAAAATTAGGTATATAAATGGATCACAAAACCGGGTGTTTTTATCAAAATACGGATTTCTGAGACATTTTTTATATAGTAACATAACTAATAAAAAAATTGGCGTTGACCTGGCAGCCCGACCCCAGCCAGGGGCTCTGCCCCTTGGACTCCGCCAGGGGTTGCCGCCCCTAAGACCCTGCTCCCAGGAGCGCTGCCCCCGACACCCGTCAGTTCAGTGGCTTCGCCTCTAATTAGCAGTATACTTTCAACAATGACAAAATCAAACAAATGTGCACTCCGCACCATATTAATTTGTTCGATAATTGTCAAAGTGACATTGATCAACAAATTAACCCCATTACACTTAAATAATATTAGTGATATAAAATCACCAACAACTCTCTCATTTCATGGAAGAGCAAGAAACATGACGTTGTCTCTAGATCTTCCACGAAGGCTGAATATCGTGTTGTGGTTGTAATTACATGTGAGATTATTTGGTTACGGTGGTTGCTTGCGGATATGAGAGTTCATATTTCTTCACCTACCCCCTTGTATTGTGATAACAAAAGTGCGATACAAATTGCAAAGAATTCTGTTTTTCACGAACGGACGAAGCACATTGAAATTGGTTGTTATTTTATCCGTCACCACCTGCAGCTCGGGACCATATATATTCCATTTGTTTCATCAACCTTGCAGCTTGCGGATATTTTTACGTAGGCTCTATCGGCTTCTCGGTTTCGGTTCTTGTGTGACAAACTCTCAATGCTTATTGCTGCGGAATTGTGAGTTTGAGGGGGGATGTTAGCCTATATATTATTAGCCTACTTGTTTATGGGCCCTTTAGTCTTTAGCCTTTTAGGGTTTTATCTAGCGAGTATTTGTATGCCACTTTATTCCTTCTAGTCTTTATGTTTTCCATTGAGAACCCTTGTAATTTCTCTTTATTATAATCATATGACAATGGTATCAATATAATTAAATAATTAGATCATAGTATTGAAAAACTAAAAGTCTACCTTCACAAGGCATGTATGTCTTATAAACCTAAAATTGTATGACCTTCTCTCTCTAATTCAAAATTTCTTATTAAAAAAGTGAAGTTGAGTTAAACTTCAACTTTTTTGTTGTAACCACTTTGGTAAGCATATATATGAAATTCTTTATGCAAAGAATATTTGATATTTCTCAATGACAATATACCATTTCTATCATTTATTGATCTTGGTAAGCCAATTGGTGATCTAAGTTCCAAACCAGTAATTGGGTTTTCGATTATTGAAATGTTCAAAGGAAAGTATCTGGTTGGAAAGAACAAAACTTATTGAACGAGACATGCTCACTTTATTTAAACATATGTTGACCAATTTTTGATCTGACTATGTCTCCGTATTTAAGGCATCCAAAAAAAGTTTTCAATATGATAGGAAATTTAAGATGCATGTTCTTTTGGGTAGAGGCTACGAAAACCAAAAGAATTTCATGGGTGGCATGGAGAAATGATTTGTCCAAAACAAATCACGGGGGCTAGGTGTAGGTAATTTAAAATCCGGAAAACTTGATTCTACTACCCAAATGGAGAAGATTTAAATTAAAAAATAAGTTGTTATGGAAACAAACAAACAAACAAAAAACAGATGTTTTTCACGGGTGGACGGGGATCTCTCAGACAACAACTCCAGCGGTGAACCTTAGTGAGAGCCTACGATAACCCTGTGTAGCGCCCGCAGATTCGGGTTAGTCAATTTAGTGACGATAAGCGTCAAAAATGACTTTTTTTTTATAGATGATTATTTAGAATAAATAATCATAACTAAGTTGTAGTATATGTCACAAGGTTAATGTACATTTAAAAAACGTTGAAATCCGACTTATAACGAAGAAGTTATGACCTGTCAAAGTTTCGCAACAAAACTGGAACAACACCGGGGATCGTAAAAAGTGAGTTTAAGATAAAGTACTTTTTATCCTTATGGGTCTAAATGAAAGTTGTAGATTATGTCTCCACCTACGCGTGGATATAAATAACGTTAAAAACGGAGCTCGTATGCAAAAGTTATGGCCTTCCGAAGATGTAGCTGTCTAAGAGCATGACACGTGTCAGAAACCCTAATCTGACTGGACTCACGACGTGAGCATGATTTCTCACGACGTGAGGAGTCAAACAAACACTAATCGAGCCTAGAAAACACCTAGTAAGTCTACAGGATGACTCTTGGAAGCTCACGACATGAGCATGTCATTCTCACGACGTGAGAAGTCATCCGGGCGTGTTTCGGAGCTATAAACGTAGATGGCGAAGCTACGAGATGATACAGCCATGACTCACGACATGAGCATTGATTCTCACGACATGAGAGGCCAAAAATCAGCCTATAAATAGTCATTTCGACCCTAAGCTTCCTTACACCAAATTATTCTCTCTCTCTCTCTCGTTTGTTGAAGGCGTTCCGCATTCTAAGCCTGACGATCACGAACCGCTGACCGTTTCTAGTTAGATTCTATCAAATCACGCTACTAATGTGAGTGCATGGTCCCTTTCATGAACATGATTTTAATACAAGTATTGATTAAAGTATTAATTTATATGTTTATGTGTGAAATATTTGATATTGCCTGAAATACACGTTAAGAGCATACCTAATACATGTATGTTGATTTAGGATACATAGTAGACCTAAATAAATTAAGAAGGATATTGGGTAGTATCTCCATATGAGTACGAGTGAGATATACACAGAGGGAATAACTTTAAAACTTGTTATTAATCCGAGAGTATGGATTAGACTTAGTCAATTGTCCTTAGTCCGAAAGTATGGATAAGACATGGTTATTTGTTATTAATCTGGGAGTATGGATTAAGACATGGTTATTTGTTATTAATCTGGGAGTATAGATTAAGACATAGTTAGTTGTTATTAATCCGGAAGTATGGATTAAAACTTAGTTATTTGTTATTAATTTGGGAGTATGGATTAAGACATAGTTATTTGTTATTAATCTAGGAGTATGGATTAAAATATAGTTATTTGTTATTAATTCGGGAGTATGGATTAATACATAGTTATTTGTTATTAATCCGGGAGTATGAATTAAGACATAGTTAATTGTCCCTAGTCCGAGAGTATGGAATGGGTACAGTTATTCCGCGAGTATGGATTAGATATACCCAATCCATGAGTATGAATTAGGTAAAGAGATTAATTCTAGATACGAGAGTATAGATCGTGTCATTGCGATGATCGGCGGGGTGGGCTAAAGTTGCTTATATATTGTGAAATTGTATATTTTGTGAGTTCTAAAATATATATATATGATATAACATTGTGGGATTGAAATCCCTATGTATTCACCATGCTTCCCAACCTGACCCACTCAGTTTATTTGTATCACAGGTGTCGATACGAAGCTATATTACACTGTGAAATTAAAAGAGATGTAGATCACTAGTGTAAATAAAAGTAAGGTTTGTTTATGCTTATGTTTCTATATTAGCAATGACATCCCAATGTTTTAAAATACATTTTTTCGGAAATGCTTTGATAATCTATTTATCATATTTTTCTGGAAACAAATTCTGTAACATTTTTCTTTAAATTGATACTCTGATTTTTAAAATAAAGCATAAACAAATCGATTTTTTCTGGCTGTGAATTTGGGGAGGTAACACCCTGCTACCCCTCAAACTTTTAAACACAATGAAAAGGAAAAAAAAAAAAAACCGATGTAGTGTAATTTTCCTTTGTGCTATCCTGATATTTTATTATGAATCCTCCACGTGACAGCTCGCAGGAGATTGAAGTTTGGATTTTGGTCCAAGATTGCTTCTTTAGATGATGAATAAAATAAAGTTAGTATTACACTATCATCACATTTCATAAAGTGATTAGATTATAGGTTAATCGATCAAGTTTTGTTAAGGTTGTTGTGTTTCAGAGACCCCACTTTATCAACCATTCCATTAATTATGTTGATCGAGATTGTATTGTGATATACATATAACATATTAGTAAAAGGAGACACCTACTCTTGTGGGTATGGAGATGTATCATTGGAAGAGGAACAATACTGGAACATCTCATGTCCATTCAAACTTTATTGGCTCTATTCAATTACCACGGATTAAAAGACTCGTGGATTTGGTCGCTTGAAAACTTGAAACAGGACTTGGTAGGAACCTCGGGAGAAGAGGTTAATGATATGTCACTTTTCATAAAGGTCACTGTGACATCCCCATTTTCACGGCCAGAAAATACCGATTTGTTTATGCTTTGTTTTTAAAATCAGAGTAATCGTTTAAAGAAAATTGTTGCGGAATTTGTCCCCAAAACAAGATATGATAAGAATTTATCAAAGCATTTCTTAAAGAAGAGTATTTTTAATATATAACAAAATCTCAGGATGTCATGTTCCGATACAGACACATAAGCATAAACAGAACTTACATTTATTTACACTAAATGATTTACGTCTCCTTTAATCTCTCAGTAAAATATGTCTTCGTATTGATACTTGTGATACAAAGAAAACTGAGTGGGTCAGGCTTGGGAGCCTGGTGAGCATATAGGGTTTTCAACCCACAATAATACATTTATTATATTCAATTATCAACAATCAACCCAAATACCCGTCCCCATTATCTTCTTTATTTATTAAGGTTTTACCCTAAGAATCGATCATACTTTCCTCATTCATTCCTAAGGATTTACCTAAGGAACTGGCACACAGTCCATTTGCTACCATGGTTTATACAACAGGCACTACGTCGCATAGTCACCAGGGTTCATACAATTGGCACTACGTCTCATAGTCACCAGGGCTTACACAATAGACACTACGTCTCATAGTCACCTGGGTTCATACAATTGGCACTACGTCTCATAGTCACCAGGGCTTATCAAATAGGCACGAAGTCGCATCGTCACCAAGGTTTATCAAATAGGCACGAAGTCGCATCGTCACCAACTATTCCATCTACCCATGTTCTACCCAACATTTTTGTAGATATAAATACAAACACAATTTAAATCATTTAACACCTGTATAAAAACATCAATTCCAAATCCATCTCAAATATATAATTAATATATAACACATAGCACGTATTTCATAGCTAATACTTTATATTTATGTATTAGAAGAAAGTACTATGCACTCACGCATATAAACAACATATAACACGTATTTTATAAAATACTTCATATTTATGTGTAAGATGAAAGTGACTATACACTCACTTGATCAGAAGATGATCGGGCAACACTACGGCTTGCAGAAGTAGTGTTTCTCCGTAGATCTAGAAG